CCCCGTGACCGACGCCCCCCCCCCCCCCCGTACGCCACCATCCGCCGCTCCGCCACGGGACGGGCCTGCACCAGAGCTGATCGCCTCTGCGAGTGACCTTCGTCTTTCAACAATTCTACATGCGACAAAATAAATCCTGCAATATTTCAATTAAACCTCTACATACTAGATAACATAGCCTAAAATTTACACTGAACTTCATTGTTGTTTTTAGACTGCAATATTTCAATTAAACCTCTACATACTAGATAACATAGCCTAAAATTTACACTGAACTTCATTGTTGTTTTTAGACTACTTTCAAGAAGGAACAGTTTATCAAGTGTTTTGACAAGACAGCTGAATATTAGCTGATAGACGAGTAACAGAAGCTAAAGGACAGTAGGAAGTCAATAAAAGTGTTACATATCAGTGAGGCATATGTTAAGTGGCAATTCCTAAGCTTCTGGAAGTACCAGAGATAACCTGGTCGACCCTACCACATTTTCCAGACTTCAGTCAATTTATAGTTCTGTAGGTACATCATTAAATGCCATATCTTATCTAAAAACATCTTTCATAACAGTTGTCCAGTGATATGAAGTTGGAATTCTCTCTCCCAGAAGCTGACACTCTAAAGCCTGAATCTATTTAAATCCAGGAAAAATAAAAGCCATTCACATGACACATTCTGAAAAGCCATCAGCACACTCAGGTACAATTGCATACTTGCATGCATTAGAATTTTGCACTTATAATAATCAAACCAGTCAAGGCTAGCTGCTTAAGTTATCCCCTCACAAACTATGCATGTTCCAACTTTACTCAAATGTGTGACATCAACATAAGGAGGGTACTAATATGTCATACCTGCTTTGCCAATCTGAACCGCAAGCTTTGTAAGTTTGCCTTGGAGAACCGACTTTTCTTTCTTTGGCAAGTTCGCTCTCTTCTTGTCTTTCTCATCTCCATCCCCACCATCCTCGCTCTTCAGTGGTTGCATTTCCATGGCTGCACCATCCTGAGCTTTAGCTAGAAGTTAAGACCAAATAAAGTTTAGCCATTCGGGAGTCCCCAAAATCAATGATACTTAAAAAGCTTAACAACACCAGGCTCCACTAAACACCAGTACTGCATAGTACCTTGTATCCAGAGATGCCATACTGCACATGAATGTTTAAACAAGTGTATTTGGTGTAGGTGCCCAGGTGCTGGCAGCAGGGGAGCTGCAGCCCATGGAGAAGACCACGGTGGGGCAGGTTGTCCCCCTGCAGCCCACAGAGGACCACAACAGAGCAGATATCCACACTGCAGCCCATGGAGGACCCCATGCTGCAGCAGGTGGATGTGCCCTAAGGAAGCTGCAGCCTGCAAAGGGCCCGTGCCGGAGCAGGGTCCTGGCAGAAGCTGTGGCCCGTGGGAGACCCACGCTTGTGCAGTCTGTTCCTGAAGGACTGTACCCTGGGGGAAGGACCCACATTGGAGAAGTTCATCAAGGACTGTATCCTGTGGGAGGGCCCCCATGATGGAGCAGGGGAAGAGCATGAGGAGAAATGAGCAGCAGACAGGCATTATGAACTGACCAAAAAACCCCATTCCCCATCCCCCTGCGCTCCTCAGAGGGATGAGGTAGAGGAGTCAGGAGTGAAGTTGAGCCTGGAAGGAAAGGGGGGTGGGGGTGAAGGTGGTTTTAGTTGTTTGTTTCTCACCATCCTACTCTATTTTTAATTGGCAATAAATTAATCTTCTCCAAGTTGAGTCTGTTTTGCCCGTGAAGATAATTGGTAAGTGATCTCCCTGTCCTTCTGTCAACCCACAAGCTCTTCATTCTATTTTCTGTCCCATCCTGCTGAGGAGGGGGAGTGAGAGAGCAGCTAGGTGGGCATCTGGCAGCCAGCCAAGGTTGACTCACCTCAACAAGATAGCTTGAAAATCATTGGTAAAGTTTACTTTTATAGTATCTAGCTATGTTGAGACTACCAAGTTCATTTAAGCATTTGTTTTACACAGATTCACTTATGCCATCTTTAGCACAAGCACTTTGGATCTAAGTATTCAATATGCATTTTCATAGGAAAGTATGTATTCATTACATACACTCTCAGAAAATAAGGACTTGCAAGAAAGGTTCAGAGAACCTGCATTTACCTTTGTTACGGTTTTCAACAGCTCCGTCTTGCTTTTTACCTGTTGGAGAGGAGAACAATTTGTGTTTTAAATTGGCTGTGCAGTTCATTTCAGCGTTTACATTTATATATAATACATACATTACCATATGCTGAAACAAGCAACTGCATTTAAAAAAAAAAGCGTAGAACAAACTGGAGACAGAGGGCTGACATAACTGAGGATTTAAAAGTGTAACTCAACTCACAGAAACAGCTCATACCAGTTTTTTGGACTTTACTTTTCCCATACAAGACTGCTGCAGTGTTATGCTACCATAGTTAAGTTTGCACAAATTACTGATACAGACATTTATTACTTGTGAGGAAAGCTTTTAAAAGGCTTGCCTAAACATTTTTCTAGGAAAGAAATTTGTGACATTCAAGTGATTCTGGTGGCCTCAGCCTTGCTCTCTGTTCTTCCAACACTTGGCAACTGCATCTGACTACTACTGTAAGTGAACTGTAGGACCTCACTTCCAGAATCAGTGCTTTTGTACAGCATTGCAGAAGCTATTGTAGTATAAAATACTTATAAATCCACACCAAAGCTTAACAGAGGCACAGCACTCGATTACTGTATCTATGCTAACCCTGTTTATGCAAGCATGACCATAATCTGTTGGCAACATACCAGTATTACACCACTAAGAGAATAGTTCAAGTTCAGAATAAAATATCGCTCCTACCTCTGTTCAGAAATGGAGTTCAACAAGAGATCATAAAGAAGGACAGTGAAATAATGAAAGACGTTAATGAGTGAAACATTAAAAGGTAACTAGAAGACCGACACATCATGTGTAGTTTATGAGGGCCGGGGGGGACACTACCTTTTTTTTTTGTTTGGGTTTTCAGATAAAAAGGTTTAGATACTACCTTGGCAAGTGAAAAACTTCTCTCCTAAGTAGAGAGAGCAAGGGTTATAGTTTCTATTTGCAATAACCTGAAATGAAAGCACAAAATTGAGGAACTTAGAACAAAACCCAGAATTTTTCAGTCTCACTGGTAATTCATTAAGTTTTCTGACTTAGGTTATGTAGACTGAAATGTATGAGACTACTCAGGTAGAAGAAAATCAAATTATCAAGCAGCCTGTCTGTCATGACATTTAATACCTCCACTACATTATTATTGTAGATGTAGTCTGATTTCTATACATAAGATTTCCCCTGACCATCCTCAGAACAGCTGAGGAAAAAAAACAAAACAAAAACCGTGTTCACCTTCTCCACAAGATGCCACTTCAAACTTCTTAAGAACTCATCATTGTCTCCTAATTTAGTATTTGTTCTTTCCTAGTTCTCCTTTACCTCTTAAAAGAGCAAAGTTCTACACTTGAGTTACTTCTAACTCCTTGCACATACGTTTGCTTTCACTCTGAACCAAGCCATACACAGCCGACTAAAAATAGCCACTTTAATCTCCTTAATATTCAGAGAAGCTAATTTAGTTTAACCTGAGTTTTACCAAGGAGAATCTTATCAGGCACCTAACTTAAGGGAAAGAGGAAGCTGTCTATCTAGGGAGAAAGAAAAAAAAAAACCAACACAACCAACCAACCACAAGTGTTCAGGCCCTAGAATACACCAAAACACTACTTATCAAAAAGACTTCCACTTATAGAATATTATAGACACTGTCATAATATTAATAAAAGCTATCGTCTTCTCCATATCTCCTGTAGCAGCTGGTACTGTTGCTTGCTTCCTCCTCCTTCCTCTGTAAGAGAAAGAGCAAAGGATGGAAACTGTTCCACACTAATCCCTGGAAGCGTTGTGGGTCAACTTTTACTCTTCACTACCACGCTTGAGCTTGAAACTAATTTTGAACTTTCAATTCTTCTTGTAACAATTCTTGTAACTTAATTCTGAAGAAACTTACTACTTTAAGTTTCAAGAAGGGTCAGAACTGTAAAGTATTTGTGGATTAGGACAAGACGACAAAAAGTACAGTTCAATCCTAATTCCTGCACAGAGCACACATTTCAGCAATTGCCTCTTTAGTTTGAAGGCACTGAGATTCCTAAGCACATTTCTGTATGGCTTTCTATTTATGGCTTTCCATTACTGTTTCATATTCCTCTGATGAAAAATTATATTTTTCTGCCAAGAATCCTCAGATTCAGTCCCATCTAGTAGACCTCATAACAGTTTCTACAAAAATATTTGCTGTGGTGAACCTCAGTCCTGAACATGCCTTGTGAGAGCTAATATCAAAACATTACTGGTTAACATTTCTAAGCTTTAATTCTCAGGATAAAGGCTATGGCTTAGATAAGTGACCTTGTAATTCCAGCTACCGAGCAAGTCCTTCAGAATAAGGAAGATAGCCCACTTCACACAAGGGCTCCAAAATGTTCTGGGTTACAAGCTCCTCATCCCTCCAAAAATAGTTTACAGAAAAGTGCTGCTAGGGATTTGCCTTGTGTATATATCTGAGCATTCAAAGTTTCAGCTCTGGAAGAAAATGAGTGGCAGAAGCACCTGTCTGCTCACCTTCATCAAAACCAGTCTTATATATGTTTAAGGTATCCACAAACTCAGTAGTATCAATGATACAAGCTTTTCCCCTTCAAGTGTCATAGAAGAACTCCCTATGCAGGACACTTTCTATCTGTCAAAAGCAGAACTAGATACTTATTGAGTTATTGGTAATAACCTGTTTGCCATAAACAAATTTTTGCTATTAGACACGAATGTACTTTGAAGTTACACAAGATGGCAGTTTAACAATTTATACATGGTATGGCTGGTTAGGAGTTGTAAACTTTCCAACCTCTAATTGATCAATGAGACCTGAAGTTTAATTAAAAATCCATGTGACAGGAGTTATTAGTAGTGGTGCACTCTCAGGTCACTGGACCTGAGTTTTTCCTGTGAAACCTACTGGAAGTATGAGGTTTAAAAAAAGATTTCTGGCTCCAGATGACTAGAACATGTTTTTATTATTATGCCTACTTTTCTTGTCCTTCTTCTCTTTTTCCTTCTCCTTCTCCTCTTCATCTCCTCCAGCTCCAAGTAAGGTAAAGATGATTCCGGTCTGAGAGTTCACACCTACAGCAGTAACTACCATTCTTCCAGAGCCTTCCATCACATGTGTACCTGAAAGATTTAACCAAGTTTTCCACTGAGACTTGAACAGTTATATGGCAGAGCACAAAGGAAATGAGTTCTCAAAGTTCACGTTGATGAAGCCTTGATATACCACTGTGTTCCCCTAGGGCTTTAATTGCCAAAACTATCTGGAAAATAAAACCATAAGCAACTACACAAAATGTTTGTCAGTTTTAAGAGTCTACTCACTTTGTCAAAGTTTTATACTAGTGGCACTGGTTTTGGATACTTTTAGAAGTCAGCCTAGATAAGGTCCAGTTTGCCAGATTTTAACCTCAAAATCTTAAATAACCAGTTTACCCCCCGAAACAAACCAATTTCTTCAAGAATTGTCAAATGTTACACACCTGACAGCAGCATGGGATCTCTGTCCAGAGATTTCTTAACATGATCAGATTCTCCAGTCAGTGAGCTTTCATCAATTTTGAGGTCATTTCCTTGAATGAGTACACCATCAGCCGGTAAAAGATCACCTACGAGAGATCACTGGGTATGTTGACTGCAGTTCCTTTTTTAAAAATAAAAGAAAGTTCAACTTTAAAAATATGTTTACCATATTTCACTTGTGCAATATCTCCAACAATTATGTCAGCTACTGGTATTTGGATGACTTGGCCACCTCTGATGACTGTGAATTTCTGTTCTTGTTCAATACGGCTCTGCAATCCCCGAAACTGTTTCTCTTTACTCCAGTCATTGAAAGCTGTTACTAATACCACACAAACTACAGATAGGAGGATTGCTGCTCCTTCAATCCAACCTGCTTCAGATTCCTCCTCTTCTTCACCAACATTTACTGATCCACATACTGTAGAAAACAGGTTTTAGATTTAAGAAAGTTCATGCAGATAGTTACTTCAACAACAAAAAAGTTTTGCCAAACAGAAGAAACTACTGATTTTAGTAGTACTAACTATATAACTATACTATATAAATTAGAAAGTTGTCATATTGCAAATCAATGAAAATTTAAGACTTGCTGACTCCCCAAAGCACATGACTGCAAATTATAAATTGCTTATATATTTGAGGTAAAGCTAAAAAAACCAAAACAAACAAAAAAACACTTACACAGAAACATGACTGGACCTAAGACAAGTCCTTGTTCCTGCTGCTTGCACTTTACCTTTGGCATTATTTTGGTCAGAATGATACTAGATCATGACCAGGGAAACCTCATGTTGCCCTTTTAAGGCAAGCTAGAGTTTTAGTAGTGTTCTCTCGATGAGGAACAATAAGCTGCTTTTCCACTGACTTACTGTCTCCCATCAGATTTACAGTATAGGCATGTTGGACCAGAAAAGCTAGTAATATAATACAGGTAGATACCTACTTTTTAAAAAGTTTACTTACGTGATTCATTTCCTCCTGGAGGCTGGTAAAAAGAAAGGCCCAAGGATACTACGGCTGCAATTTCTAATATAATTAGTGTAACGTCCTGTAGTGCTTCCCATACTAACTGAAGAAATGTTTTTGGCTTTTTAGGAGGTATAAAGTTCTTCCCAAAAACTGCTTCTCTCCTTTCTATATCTGCTGGATTTCCACTTAAACCTATTTAATAATAAGACAAAGTTAGTGACACTTATTTGCATTTCACCCTCACGTTAGAAGTGATTGACGTTTCCCATTCATGGAGTCAAGTCCCACTCCATATTTCAGTAACAATACTGAAAAGCCATATCTCAAATATAATTACATAAGTATTATCCTTAAATTAGAGTCACTATAGAAAGCCAGCTATATTTTATAATTCACACTTTGCCAATATAAAGTAGGCTGATGGTCTACCTACTTGCACTTAAATATGACATAGCAACAGAGTAACAGTAACAGACGTACCTTCGTACAAAGTAAACAAGTTTGCAAGACAAGATCATTAGTAGAGTTACTACTATCGAGACTGAGTAGCACCATGCAGCTTTAGCAAGACCACAGCCTGTGAAGCCAGCTCTGGTTCCCACTGTAGGGATTCTGTATTCAGAGATAACATCCTAGGATCCTACAATTATTGTCACATTTATAATGAAATATTTAATATAATTAATAATATAAAATACTATAAATATTATATTTGTGTATTATTTAGTTATGATATAAAATACTATAAAAAGCTGGTGAAGCTCTCCAGGCATCATGTGGAGAGAGGCAGCCACTGAATGATGCTGCTTCTACCTGGACACCATTGTTTGCTCTTCTGAAGCTTCACTTTCTATCTCCTCTCACACAGAGAGAGCCCATATTTAGCACCGTGCAGGGTCTGTCACCTCAGTTTTGTACCTATCTTCTTTCTTATATGGCATATTTCTTTCAGAGTCCTCTTCTCTGTCTCAACTCTTGTACCATCCTTAAGGGACACTAGCAGGCAAGAGTGATGGGCCTTCACTAAAAGCCACTGCGTGCTTCAAGAGTTAGCCAGGTCCTTAAAAATAAAGGAATACCAAGTATATTCAGTGCAAGGTCATGCACTCAAGGTCTTCTGTAAGTACACCTCCTGTTTACTTCAACAGTTTCCAGCTGCCTAACCCGCCATTCAGAATTCAAGCCACTAGCTCATTTTTCAAAGCAAAATGGCCAAACATCCAGCCGTGTTCAGAGCAAAGGTCTGGATACTTCAACCATATTGCCCCCAAGGTTATGATCAGCACCTGCTTAAAGACAACAATGTTCCTAGTAGCAGTTTTTTAGTACTTAACCCAGCTGCTTAGTGATAAACGCATTGCAAACACGCTAGGTAATCAATAAGAACAGCGACCAATGCAACTGGCTTTCATAATAAGTGGGGTATTTAATACCTCTAATAGGCATTTCCTAGAACCATCATGTGATATTTCAAGACACTTTGCAAAGACTACTGAACTGCAAAGCTCAGTTTTAAATGCTAACAACTGCTATGTAATCACTTAACTGAAAAGCAAAATATTATGTGCAGATCTTTTGAAAAGTGAAACAAATTAAACATACTCTTAGTGTATATCATAAGTTAGATTTTTTTGTAACACTTTTAGATTCACCTTGAATTCATGGCTTTGGAGGTTTAATACAAAGGAACAATTTTACTGGTTAGCCATAATACTATGCTTCTTGAAGTTCAAGCTTTGAGGTGCTTACTTTCACTCTCAACTCAAAGACCACCACAAGACCATTTTGAAAAAATCAAGCTATATGAGGGGATCTAGAGAAACTCAGGACAGCTTGGCCATTCCAAAAGGCTGGACCGTATTGCTATTTTACAACAGATACCATTTCTCTCTTCCTTTTAGCATGGCAGAGTTTGGAAAATTATTTACATAACATCAGTGGCACCGCTTTCCTCCTCCCTTCACAGGGTACCAGGATGCAGAACATCAGAAGTATACAGCAATGGTCTTTGAAGAATGAAAAACACTTTCTAACAAAGCTATATAAAGTCAAGCTACTATCAGAACCACTTAGTGAAGATTAGTAAATAAGCCTAGCAAAGACAAAAAGCATTTGTATGTTTAGTATTTGCCATAATATACCACGCACCATTACTAAACTTGCTACATTTACCACACAGGTGGCAATTTCACAGTTCATAGTCTACAGTCCTGAAGTCAAAACTACTGCCATTATACTGTTCATTATGTATCTTAACTAGGGTAATTTATGTTATTTGGGGTTAAGTTTGAAAAATATTAGGCAAGGGACTAGTTAAAGCTTCAGATACAAATTTTATTAGACATCTAGAAGTTACTAGACAATCAAAATAACGTAGACCTGTGGAAATATCGATGGTGTTCCATCTCTTCATTTATTCACATTTGTATACATTTGTACACATTAAAGGACATAACAAACTTCAAGTACTAAGCCGTAAAGTCTGCTCAGTGTCTTTCTTTAGTAATACGAGTAAAGGATAGTTCCCATTTCTCATTTCAAATCAGGTAGGTCTTATCCACATTTTGCCTGAAAACAGACATTGCCTTACACTGTCAACAACTTCAAAGCAAGAAATTATGCAAGCTGAACTCATCCACTGTGTAGCATTTCGGAACTACCTGTACTTTTGCTGTGAAGTCACTGATAATTACGCAAGTCAGCACTTCATATCATAAAGAAAGCTTCTGAATAGGAAGAAGTGTCATAGGGCCTTGCAGGTGTACACGGGAAATTTTAGAGAGCTAAATAGTGTAACACACAGCAGTTTTCTGCATAGATCTTGCCTAGATTTTCTCCATTAGAAATGTCTCCATTTCTATACTTACACCTTGAATTTGACAAAAGAAGAGACCTAGCTCTACTTTTACAAGAGCTCTCCAGTACTACCTCCGAGAAATTTATAGCAGCTTACCTGACAGAGAAGCTGGTTCTCTAAAGGTTCATGTAGTGATTTAGAGCCAAAACAACACCTTCGTAGAAGGCACTGCTCTAACTCATCTTACTTAACCTCTTCTGAGCTAATTATCACACTCAACTGTTGAAGCCTTGCTGTGTTTATGAGCTGCTCTCACACTTAAAAAAAAAAGATGGTGCCCTTTTATCAACTTAGTGATTGTATTTAACTGATTGCAGGACACTACATCTAAATGTCAATTCCTTTTGAAAGGGAAAGGCCTCGATCACACAGTCCTCAATACAACAGAATCAATCTGCAGGAAAGGGCATCTAACCCTTTCTAGTTTTAGTACACTGACACTCATCATTCATGGGAATGTATGTAAGTTAACAAGCTTGTTAACTTACATTGTTAACATTGTTACATAGTTACATTGTTAACTTACAAAGCTTGTTAACAAGTTAACAAGCGTTAACCTGCTTGTTACATTAAGGGACATAAAATGAATCTTGCAGTATACCAGGTATTTGGTGCTTAGTGCATCATGGCCGTCTACAATCATACGCCCACCTAGTTTGCAGTAATAATGGGCCTTAAACCTTGCAGATTACTGTAAAACAGGATTCAACTCTCAGTTCGGTTCCTGATTGTAGAAAACTACAGCCCTTTTCACTGAGAAAGGAAACTGCCTTTCAATACTATGCAACAGGTCAACAGGGTAACGAGAGACTGCTGCTCCTGTCTAAGAGGTGTTACACTGCTTGTACACAGCAGTGCTTCACACGCATGCACCAAACTTTACAACTCCGTTGATGCCAAGGAACAGAAGTTTACACTCCTCATGTTTTACAAATTTCTTCTTCAGCCTAAAACTGGTCTACTCCCATTCACTGGCAGGTCAGGCATGAGAGCTGGCTACTTTCAGTTTGGTAAGAGGAACCCAGTTCATGTACCGAAATAATTTCAGGAGTTTGGAAATCAGGAGTCTGGCTTCAAAAGCAGATCAAGCCAAAACATGCTAACTGCAGATGTACCCAGAGATACCTTACGGCATTAGTAGGCTGTTCTTGATCCAAGGAGACAAAACTTTCCATAGCATTTCTGAAGAACAGAAAGCAACAGCTCTCCAGGGTTAAGACAGCAGGTACTTTACTGCCACCAACATGACACCACATTGGTTAAAAGCTATGTGAGTGCTTAATGCTGAGACACCACAACTTGCCAAAATCTTGATTTTGGTACTTCTCAATCATAACCAACAGCAGGACTTCACATTAACTTAAATTAACATTAACATAATTAAGGACTTAACATTAATTTTAGTTAATGTTAGATAAAAATATGTAAAAACATTTGTACAGGACACTACAGTTTAGATATCTTAAGCAATATGACTTGCATCTTTCTTTCACAAATTAAAGATTATAGCTTTCATTTACATTGCTAAGAGAGGGCCAGATTTTAAGGAAAAGCTTTCATTTACATTGGTAAGAGAGGGCCAGATCTTAAGGAAAACTTCTGGAAAGCTCTCAGGAGCAACACTTGATACATTTTATTTCCTTTTCACATTTGTGCAGTCTATCTTGGAGTAATAACTCTAGAGAGCAAAAGCATCAGGTAGCCCCACTTCACAGAATGCCATCAAATCCAACATGGCAAAGACTTAAAGATGCTTATTTCTAGAGAATAAGATTGTGTGATCACTTTGCAAACCTTCTACTAATAGTGACAGTACCTCGTAGTACCTAAAGCTGTATTGTTAGTTATTTTGTATAGATCAAATGAAATCTACAGAAATATTACAGATTTAAAACCTAGATCCTACTATTAAGAATTCAGTGTAGTACAAATAGAAAACAGATGTCACCAGTTTTAAAAATTATTGCATTAGGCAATACAAGAACTAGGTAGCAACACAGAAGCATTAATAAGCCCTGCATTAGGCTATTAAAACCTTGTGTTCTACGACAGCATGATCTGAATTGTGAACTATAGGTCGTATGAGCTATTCACAAAAAACTTACACTTTCACAGTAAGTTAAACATTGCTATGTTGCATTGCTATTTCATATGTGGATGCCTACGTCAATGAACTTTATTCCAAAGTGCAACTTTACCACTAATCCAAAATCTCACATGCAGTTAGACCCATTGAAAAAACTCTTGCTTACTTATTACCATTGAATACCTCTGCCTTAGAGAAGTAAGAAGCAATATTTTATTATGGTAACTGACACACTTTTATAAAAACTTTTATATTAAAAAAAAAAAAAAAGTAGTATTTTGCTTGACTAAGATTTTTCCTAAATGGAGTTTGCTCAGTAATAGTGTTAAAATTGACTTACCTTCATTTGGTGAAGTTTTCAATTTTGTACAGATGCCATGTACATCTCCATAGCATTCCTGTATTTTATGCAGTGCATCGGTAGCTCGAAGTTCCATAAGAGAACGGAGCTCTGCAAGAGTAACTCCAAAATCTCCATGATTAGCTTCTTTTACAGCATTTTTTACGCCACTATATGCAACTGAGTTGTTTGCCATATCACCCATGATGCGTGCAGTCTTTAGTGTAGACAGTTTCCAGTAAGGAACAAGATTTCAACTTAAAATATTTCCAAAAGGAAAAGAAATCCTTCGGGTATGAAGACAGTCAGGAGAGCAGATACATCACCCAAGTAAAAGACCCTGTCTGGAGAGATATCTTTGAGGTTGTCCCATGGCGGGTTCTGTTCCCCAAGCCAAATGGCATGTACAGTCTAGGGAAAGAATAAATATACATTCAGTTACATAACAGCTATACAGAAATACATTATAAGACAACTGTACTCTTCAAATTGAGGTTACAGAACAAATTTCTGCTTAAGGACAATTTCTTCATATTTCTTACAATATTTTTAGTTAGCATTCAGCTGGCAAGAGTGACGAGGCATAAAATGGATGTTTCCCATCCCAAAATAACCTTGCATTATTATACTTTCTTAAATCATTAACTTCTTAGAACAGCTGTTGCCTTTAAGTCTTGCATTTTGCTTGATATATCCATATGGTTCATCATCAAGAGGAAACCTTTAAAAACACCTGGAAGTACATCTGTTTCTAGGGAAATGGAGTTTGGAGCATCCACCACTGATGTCACACAGGGTAAGAACATGCTCAAGTTAAAAATCCCGACTTTTCACTGGAGCTTTCACCTCAGAGTCAGACTTTGGGATGAGCAAGCTTTTTTGCGTGTTCCCATGAATTCATTTGTGCAAACCTCAAGGAAACAGTTTCAACACTGTTAGCCCACACATGAAGTACTTTTGTAGTATAAGTAGGAGCGTATCTTCAGGCAGACCTAGGTCTTAATGCATTTTCATGTCCAAACAGTTTTAGCCCCCCTCCAGCCCATTTCATCACAACTCAAGCCTCCCACAGTATCTGCATTTAATTCTTTGAACAGAGGGGAAAATTGCACAATACCACCTTCCTACAGAAGGGATAGGGAGACTAAGAGCAGTTCTTCTGTCTGATTATCAGACCACTGTAGCTGAGAAATTAACATCTACCCACAGGATTCTTAACCTGCACAGGCATTTTATATTTAATTCCTGCTCGGCTGACACATCTTGCATGTACACATGTATCTACACAACAGTATCATGAATGCACTAACACTTCTTGCCTATATAAAGATCTGCTGTGTGCAGAAGAGAGAAGTCTGATCATGTAAGTCAGCTTTATCAACATAACGGGGCATGGTGAGCACAAGTAACGATACATTCCCCCATGAAACATTATGACTGCCAGGCTCAGATGAAGAATAACTTGGACACTTCCAGGTCAATAAGACTCTCAGGTGTCATACGCCTAGCAGAGGCAAACAGTTACCACTGACTGCATTGCTTTACAAAGGCAAAGAGTCAAATAGCAAAGTAAAGATTAACCTGGCAGGGCAATAGCCAGAAGAGGACTGTTTGGCTGAACCACCGTGTCTATGTTGAGGTCCAGGTATAAGCACCTAATTACCAGAAATTTAAGGTCTTGGTTCCAGGAAACTGTCACTTCTCTGCTCTGGCAACAAACAGCTTCAGCTATAGTCAATCTACCATTTTAAGCACCGTGCCACAGTACTGCATTTGCATTGAAGACAACCACTGATGCTGAAAGACCCTGAAGTGATGTCACCTGACCACAAGTGACAGTCCCATCTCCAGCAGAACTACAACCGCTCTTCTCTTCTCTTCCTATCACTAGGAGATTCTCAGAAAAACACTGTCTACGTCTGTTTTCTGGAGAGCGACAAAAAGCATAAAGAAATCAATATTCATATGCATAAAACTTCAACATCAAGAAGGTACCCAATTTAAAAATTCATTTTAAACCTCCATTGTTTTGTTACTTGCAAAAAACCTATTACAACAGTTGAAGAGTCCATGATGATGGTGTTAACCTGCATGCTACGATGCAGTTTTGATTAACGCACATTTTTCAGCTGACTATAATATGTTCTGCTAGAGTATCCTGTAAGTGAAGAAATTCATGCAAATCATGTACAAAAGAGTGCTCTTTAAAGCCACACCACATCTTTAGCTAATGCCCAAAAGCTGGATGCTGTTGGCCAACTGGTAGCCTAGGAGGATTTATCAATTGGCATCTGATCACAAGCTATAACAGCATAAAGAAGCAGCAGATCAGGCAAGTGAGTTTGTATAGAATCATAGAATCATTGAGGTTGGAAAAGACCGCTAAGATCACAGAGTCCAACCGTCACCCCACCCCCACCATGCCCACTAAACCATGTCCCTAAGTGCCTCATCTACTCGTCTTTTAAATACCTCCAGGGATGGGGACTCAACCACTTCCCTGGGCAGCCTGTTCCAATGTTTCACCACTCTTTCAGTAAAGAAAGTTTTCCTCATGTCCAATCTAAACCCCCCCTGGTGCAACTTGAGGCCATTTCCTCTTGTCCTATCGCTAGTTACTTGGAAAAAGAGACTGACACCCACCTCGCTACAACCTCCTTTCAGGTAGTTGTAGAGAGCGATGAGGTCTCCCCTCAGCCTCCTTTTCTGCAGGCTAAACAACCCCAGTTCCCTCAGCCGCTCCTCATAAGACTTGTTCTCCAGACCCCTCACCAGCCTTGTTGCCCTTCTCTGGACACGCTCCAGCACCTTGATGCCTTTCTTGTAGTGAGGGGCCCAAAACTGAACACAGTATTCGAGGTGCGGCCTCACCAGGGCCGAGTACAGGGGCACGATCACTTCCCTACTCCTGCTGGAGTATATATAGCTATGGAGAAGATGCTGCAGCTGCTAATTAGGCAAAAATAGACCAAGCAGAATGCCCCACAGCTAATTACATCAAACTTGATTCACTTTTAATTAAGAAAAGCTCTGTTCAAGCCTCTAGCAGGAGCCCTGCACTTGAGGCCCAAATACACCCAAATCCAAATACAGACATGAGGTTAGGAAAAGCTACAGCTCTAGTCACTGCTCACTTGGCATTGAAAAGCTTTGAGACTGAATACTGGGCCAGGGCAAGACTTGCTTTCATGTGCAAGTAATCTTAAGAGCAATAACATTGCTTAATCATAGCTCATACTGTGCTTTGCACTCCGGTTCTATCATCCCTATGCATCTAGATTCATTTTTGTTAAGACATAATAGTCCAGTGACTAGCTATTACTAACAGTTTATACTGAAAGGGATTCTCAGATGTTCTGAAGTACCTCAATGGTGTCCTTACGTACCAACAGACCCTTAGGGTTCAGAGACAAGTTCAATAAGCTTACATTAACACTACAAAAGCAGCACGGTTCTGCAGATCACCTCTAGTAGTGTCACAGACTATTTGACACATCCATGTTAGGAAATAGCTCTGGAAAGCTATTCCTCCAAGAAGAACAGTGTGAAGACTGAATACTGAGCAAGAGCAGTTTTGCTCCAAATCATAAAAACTTGGTTAAACATTAGCAATTGTTACACCAAATCAGACCAGAAAGAATCTGCTCCAGCAGCCCATTTTTACCAGGCATTTCTAATGGACAGTACAAAAGCCTCTCGGCACATGGGTACAGAATGGACTTAACATAGTTTCTTTGCTGATTCCTACAGAAAAATCTCACTACAAATTTCTTTAAGAAATATCCTTAATACAGTTTGATGTCAAACCTTGCAACATTCAATTGCTTCCTGTTACAGCAAGTTCCAACAGTCCACTTCTGTAACAAAGTGGCAATGCGTAATGCAACTATAAGCAGTGAAATTCAAGTATCATAAAAGAAAGCATATTTTTAAGCTACATAGATCATCTAATAATATTTATCTCTTCAACTAGTGGAATATTTTATTTGTTTTGACCAGTGTTCCAGTTTTCAACTCAAATCTTGCAGCAGCCATTTGAGATATGTTGTTTGAGTAGCATGAGCTCTGAAGCATTATAGTTAACAGCAACTCACCTCAAACTTCCAATCTGCTAATATCTCAAATTTTAAATTCAAGAAACAGTTATCATAACTAAAAGTCACTTATACACCATTACTGAAGTTCCAGCTTATTTAAAGTTTAATTCAGTTGAAGTTATGTTAGTGTCCAGCTTAAACAAGCTGCACAGGATGATTAAGAGAAGTCTGTCTTTTGTTAGGCACATCAACTTTTGGATAATCCTTTGTTTATATATCACTGAGACTACGAGCATCTCGAAAGCTATTGTCCGTCACACTCAAGTGACTAAAAGTCCTGTACTGCAGAGGCACCTTACAGTAGCAGCACATACTCTCATAGGCAGGATTCAGGTACTTGTGCAAATCTCTCCGAAAAGACCCTGCTGCTCTGACTGTAATAGTGTCACTGACACATGTCATCGTGGCTGCCTATGAGGAGTACTGCATCTTAAATTCCCTACCCAAATCAAATTGATATTTATTGCTAAGTGAGTATGCTCCTTACCAAAGACAATAATTCAAAACCATAAGCCATGAAACAAAGGTTAGGTAATTTCACCAGTGTTAAAGGTTTAACAACCTCACAAGCCTCTGTAGTCAGACTGGAAAAGGACAAGCTATAAACAGAAGTCTACAGGTAGAGACATTTACCAAAGCATGAAGAGACTATAGATTACTACTGTTTAGTGCCACCAGAACATACTGTGTTGACCAAGCTAGAATAAGCTGTAACATGTTTCTTGAAGTGTTCTTGTAACAACACTTTCAATATAAACCCATGTTAATCCCCCGCCCCAAAAAGCAGCTACTATTGAGGCAGCCCTTAACATTAAGCATGCTTCAAAAAGGACTCCAGAAATAGTCCTTCATAAGTGAAAGTAATTAGTAACTAGTAATTTAGTATTTAGTAATTCCCTTTATTTGGAAGAAGGCTATAATCTGTGTTCTACATTCATGAAAATTAGGGCTACTTTGAAGTGATAGTTTGCAGTGGCCACGCACTGACAATCAAATGTGAACAGCAGAGTTTAAGAGTGGCATAATTACTATTGCCCAGATGCACAGGACCGAGCATACATTAGACTCCTATCTAAGCCTTTCCTATTATTGAATTTGCATTTAATACTTGCTTCACCAGCCTACAGGAAATGCATTTTAATATTAATAAAATTAAATCTTAAAACACTTAAGCAAACTCACACCTCAAGAGTCAAAGCTCCAGCAATTATATATCCTGTGTCATTCAATTTAATTTATACATCTGCTTGAACACTATACATCCAGATATTAAGCATTAGCTGGTACTAGCATTTGACCTTCAACAACACACTA